AAAAATCATTCAATGGTGCCCCACTGTACTTTGAATAAAACCCAAACAACTTGCAGTGGTCTCTATAATCCAGCCCTTGCTTTTTTCACTGGCCTCATCTCCTACCCCCCTTCTCTCTTCTTTCGCTAGACTCAATGCCGATCCGCTCTCTATTTTCTGAAACACCAAGCTCTTCCTATGTGCACCATTCTAAGCACTTTTCATGTGCTACCTCACTTAAGCCTCCCACCAGCCTCATGCAGTAAGTACTACTATGATCTCCGTGTTACAGATGTGAAAACTGAAGTACATATTGGCGAAGTCACACCATTAACAGCTGGCAGAGCCGGGGTTCAAAGCCCATGCTCTCAGCCAGTACATCATTAGCTTCCTGCTTCTAGCCCCTGCCACCTTCGTTCGCACACAGGGTCTCTGAGGTCATTGCTCTCCTTGCTGGAATGCTCTTCCCTGCCCCTGCCATCCTGCCTTCTCTTCAAAACTCAGCTCAAACACCGCCTCCTTAGGGAGACCTCCCCTGACTAGTGGACTTAACGTTTCCCTGAGTCATTCTCTCCCACATGACCCTACTCTAATTCCTTGCATCTACTTACCAGTCATTCTGCTGGTCATTCATTTGTTTAGTATCTGACTCTGCATCAGAAAATAAGCACCACCAGAGCTTGGATCTTGTCTGTCTACTGTTGTATATTGATACTTAAACCAGTGTCTGACACACTGCATAGCCCCATAGACGTTCACTAAGTGACTAGTAAACATTTGTGCTTCGTAAACATCTTGACTTTGTAACAGTGACAGTAACCATAGCAACAGTAGTATCTAGCATTTGCTGGGCAATGTACTGTGTGCCCATCAGTATTAATCATTTTACATATCTCATTTCTTCTAAACTGGAACAATAATCCATCCTGCAAGGCAGAAGAGTATCATGCCCATTTTACAGATAAGGAAACTGAATTTCACAGAAATTAAATAACTAGACTGATGTCACATAGCTAGCAAAGCAGAGGAAGTTAAATCCAAATTTGGTTCTGACTGCCTAGTCCATGGTCTTGCCACTCAGCTGTGCTGCCCCTTTTACGGTGTGATTCAAAGAATATCTGTAGCTGACTCTCTAATGAACGCTTATGGCTCTGCCTCTCTCCTGAGCTCAGAGCTCACACCCCACGGGATGTCTCCAGGAGAATGTCCCACACCCCCTCCCCTCCACACACTCAGCACATTTATAACCCAAAGCTCCGCCCTTCCCACAAAACTCCACTCCCCTTTGAGCTGTCTCACTCTCTGTCGGCGCTGCTACTGTCAGCTGCCCAGGCTTTCAGAGCTTCTCACAGTTCTAGAGACCTTCTGTTCTTCCTTGATCTTAAAATAAAGCCCAAGTTCCCAAACATGGTTTTTAATGTCTGCCAAGATTTAACCCTTGCCTACCTAACATGTATCTCTCTCCCTGCCCCCCTGGACAAGGTCAGACCCTCTTTCCATTCCTCCAACTTGCCATGGTCCTACCTCAAAACTCTTGCATATGCTGTCCCTTCTGCCTGTGGCAGTGTCCAGCCGCACCCCCACCCACCCACCACGCTCACCGTAGGTAATTGTACTTGTCCTTCAGAATTTAGCGTGTCACTTGTTCAGGGACACGTTCCCAGATACCCGGTCTCGGTCTTCTTTGAGGCACCGACCATAACTGCAGTTAAGGACTGGGTGTGCAACAAGTCACAAAGCGTCTGACTTTCTGCCAGGCTGAACACACAGAACAGGTGAGGGCTGGTTCTGTCTCGTTCAAGGCTGCAGCCCCAGTGCCTCCCACGTAGTGGTGGGTGCTTGGGAAGTACTTCCTCTTCTCCTCTGACAGCCAGGGAGTCTGCGCACGGTGTGGACTCCACCTTTACCCCTGCTGTTTCCCCCCAGAGGCATGTAGGCTCCACGAGGGCAGCAAGTTTTGTTTTATTCACTCTCGTTTCCCTAGCACTCAAGAATTCATTAAATGAATATATTCACCACTTTCATTCCCTTTCTAATGCCCCTTCCCTCCATGTTTCAGAAAACACCAGCTACGACTCTACATCTGGCTTCTGTCAGAGGGCATCCCCAGCCAGAGAGCTGAGGTCCTGAGCGGAGGAGCAGAGAGGAGGAGACAGGCCCCCCCACAGCGACCACCACTTTGGAGTTTCCTCAGCGGGGGACTTGGAGACTGTGCAAAATTGTGGGACTACCTCATCACCTCTTTGTATTCTAATTAATGTCCTCTATAAAATATGGAATTCAAGGTCTTCCGAATGGCTGTAATTGTGGGTTTCTTGGGTAAGAGAGTCAAGTGGCATGAAAGTCTCTTGATAAAGCCAGAGAGAGAGAGAAAGAGAGAGGGAGAGCGAGGGGGAGAGAGAGAATGGTGCGAGAAAGCAACTGCAGCTTGACTACCTCTGCTAAGAAAAGCCATAAGTTTTAAACACCACTTTGGCAGAGGGAGGTTTCCACACATCTTGGGCTCATCTATTAATTAATTAGCTTCCCACCAGGAGTTATACACTGTGATAGGAAGTCTAAGGAATACAAATATGAGCAATGCTCAGACTTCAAGTCCTGCAGATACCTGGATGATGATTAAAATACTATAAATAAAAGAAAAGCTTATCAAGAAACAACTACAATGTTTTCTGGCTGTGTGGGAGAACCAACCTCATTTTCACTTTCACAGTCTGCATAAGCCTGGGCTGAGCAGGGTCTGGGAAAACATGACTGCCCGAAAAGGGGAAACAGAGAGGGCTGCGCTTTTGGAAGGCCAACTAGGAGCGAAAGAGAAAAGGGAAGGGTGCACCCAAATGAGCCAGCACAGTTCCCCCCCATAAGAGGTGGACAGGCTGGTGGGGACAACGGACAAGACATGTAAGGACTCAGTACATAACAGCAGATGCTTCGACGGGGTAGGGCCATAGAACCGCCCTGGAAGCAGTGTTTGTGATGAACGCTACGTGAGCAAATCAGGAAAAGTTTCACTGAGGGGCTGATGTGAAGTCAGGTCCTCGTGTCCAAGAATTCCTTGTTTAGGAATTTGTTGTCCACAATGCGCATGAGTAACCAGCCATATCTAATATGTAGGGAAGAGTGGAGGTTGGGATGGTAAATCTCTCTGGGCCCTTTCCAGGACTGGCTCAGGGTTGAAGTGACAGTCCCGAGTGTGTGTGTGCGCATGTGTGTGGGGGCGGGGGCAGGGGCACCCAGTCCTTTTCTCCAGTGGTGAGACCACCACCAACAATGACAGCAATCACAATAGTCATGATGACTAACCCCCTCATGGCCCTTACTGCATACCGGGAGCTGTTGTAAGTGCTTTTCATAGTCAACTCTCATAGGTAAAAACAGGTGGTGGGGTGGGGCCCAGGTACGGGTTCATGCATTCAGGCACGGGCTTGCCTGGTTTAAATCTTCCACCGGTGCCACATGAAGAAGCACCCAGATTTTCTTCTCCACTTGCCCAGATGTGAGACGCAGGGATAGAGGTAGGGGGTGAGGCTTAGAAAAAAGAAAGTATCAGAGGAAGCTCAGAGAAAGCGGAGTGGGGTAGGAGGACATTGAGTTTGGAGACACACCCGAAACACTGCTTACTAGTTGGATATCCTTGCACAGTCACTCCTTCCCCCAACTTGTAAAACAGGAATAGAAAATGCTTACTTTGAAATGTTGTTTGGGGAGTGGGGGATAATTTGCAAGATACCCTGGCTTAGGAAGTGCTCAATAAATGGGAATTCTTACAGCAGCCTTTTATGCCACCGACTTGCACAAACAGGGAGCATTCTAACTCTCCATGCTCCCTGAAGGAGACACATCTCAATCATCTTTAAATACCCAGAGCCCAACTTAACCAAAAGAAGGCCCGTATCAACGGTCACTGAGTAGATGAAAGAGTAACGCAGCACTGAGGACCAAGGTCGTCTTCCAGCAAAGAGTCACGCATTTTGGTCCACGTGGAGAGGAAGATGGCAATCTGCCAATGGCTCAAGTGAGGAGCTGGCACAGCGTAACTCCTCCTCCGGCCCTACCACAGGCTAACACGGCGGCCCTTGGCTGAAGAACGCCTGCTCCGGATCTCTAGAACCTCAGCCAGCTTTGTCCTTTGTGATAGTGCCACCTAGCGAAAGCCCTGGGGTACTGCCACCTACTTGCGGCTACTGAGACAAGGTGTTAGTCTTTTAAACTTGGGAGGGGATTGTGGTCCTCGGGGCCTGTCAACTTCCATTCCACCGCCCATGCTGTCCCTCCCTTAACCTTGCCCAGACCCCGTAGGTCTGATAAGTGCCAAGGGTCAGCTATCCACTACCCCTCATACATAAGTGATCAGCGATCTAGCTATCACACGACCCTTCAGGGCATTGGGGCATCACATCTTTGGGAGCAAGCAAACATGACTCGTATCAGGGTCATTGCACGGATGGGGACACTAAGAGAAGATGGTTAACACAAGGTCACACAATGAACTAGCTACAGGGCCGGGATGAGGATCCAAGACTCGTGATTCCTTGGCTCCTTCCCCAACCACACGCCCCTCATTCAGTGTGACGACGGAGCATGCCCACCCCCACGGGGGCAGGGACTTGGGGGCCATGTGCTGAGGACCAGGGTGGGGGCGCAGGATTAAGGCGGCACCGCAGCGATAGCAGCTCCCACTCTTTCTTCTCTGCCAACCGAGCAACCAGCACGCTGGCCGCAGGGGAGAGAGGCAGGGGAAAGGGCCCAGAACAGGAAACACTGTCCCGCGCGGGTAGCCCCTGGGAGCACGCGGTGCCGGGTCATGTGAAAGCGGAGAGCAGACGAGGGCCGTCGCACGCACGCACGCCCGCCATACGTAAACACGCACTGAGGCACAGACAGCCGCGAGGCCAAAGCCCCGGGTCACATGTGGAGAGTGGCAGTGGAGAACAAGGGGGCGGGAAAGAAGGAAAGATCACGTGAAAGAGACCAGAGCAGAGAGGTCACGTGAAGGAGGCCGGAGGCGGGGCTGCGGAGTAGGAGGAGAGGCGCGCGGCTTCCGGCGGCTGGGGGGGGTACGGCGAGCGGAGGGGGGACCCTGTCCCGGAGGTGGCGGCGGCGCCATCTTGGCGAAGGGGGGATCAGGAAGTGCGGACCGCGGCGGCGGCGGCGGCGGCGCGGCGGCGGCGGCGGAGCCCGGAGCGGAGGCCGGAGGCTCCCGGCCCGCCGGCCCCGGAACGGAGCGGAGCGGAGGATGCAGCAGCCGCAGCCGCAGGGGCAGCAGCAGCCGGGGCCGGGGCAGCAGCTGGGGGGCCAGGGGGCGGCGCCGGGGGCCGGGGGCGGCCCAGGCGGGGGCTCGGGGCCGGGGCCCTGCCTGAGGCGGGAGCTGAAGCTGCTCGAGTCCATCTTCCACCGCGGCCACGAGCGCTTCCGCATTGCCAGCGCCTGCCTGGACGAGCTGAGCTGCGAGTTCCTGCTGGCTGGGGCTGGAGGGGCCGGGGCGGGGGCCGCGCCTGGACCGCATCTCCCCGCACGGGGGTCGGTGCCTGGGGATCCCGTCCGCATCCACTGCAACATCACGGTGAGGACCCCCTTGTGTGCGCCTCTCGGGGGGGCCCTTGTCAGGGACTCAGGATCACCCCGCACGGCTTTTTGATCTCAGAAGAGCTGGGAGGCCGAATCCCCTCTTGGGGCTCGCTCCTTTTCTCCAGGTTACATTTGTTTGTGCCGCTCGAGGTTCTGCCGAGCACCCGGAATCTCTACCATTGATCCTTCATAGTGAGACACCCGACATATGGCGCCCCCACTACCCCTTCCCACTGACCCACCCACACCCCAGGGTTCACGATTTTGGGTGCTCCTCCACTTTACCTTGCCACCTCCGAATGCCCCTTTCTTCCCCCTCACTCTCATCTCAAGGTTCAGGCCTCTGCACTGACCTGAGCTGGAACGACTTGGCTGGAACTCTGCACGTTTCGGTGATGCCCCCTTCTCAGTAGTACCTTTAACTTACGACGTTGCCACCTGTGGGATCCCTGCCCACGCGTCTCTCGTGCAGCCCCTCTTTGCTCTCCGAATCTCACCAAGTGGTAGTTTGCAGTACCCTGACTCTTCTTCCTTTCCTTTGGATTCCCTTTTATTCTGGTGTAACCTCTAACTCTCCTTTGCCCCAGCTGGTAGCAGATCTGCCACTCCCCTCCCGTTCCCTGTGGATATCCGATTGTCCTGGGTTGTTTGTTGCCTTTCCCAGTAATGGTGGTTGGTCATGTTTGAGGGCTGTCCCATTCTAAACAGTAACATTCCTTTTCTCCTCAGTGAACATCGTTCCACCCTAGGCATGCAGGACTGGGAGACGCTTACATGTCTCCCGCCCAGTCCACCCTCATATGTCCCTTGAAGACAGTTGGCCTCTGGTAACCCAGGAAGATCTGATACTGCGTGGTGCAGCCCTTAGAGTGGCTGGCGCTAACTGCTGCGGTAGCGTTCGCCCAGCTGGAGCACTGGTTACGGAGCCAGAGGGCAGTCCCTTATCCAGGCAGGCAGACTGTGAATGGGATTAGTCTGGGGAAACAGAGGCTTGTGAGTTGTGAAGTGCTTTGGGGCCGGAATTCATTTTACCTGGTTCCTGTTTTCTATCTCTTTCCTCCATCAAACCAGGTCAAGGTTTGGTGAGGCAGGCCTCAGATGGGATGGGGTGGCACCCCACCAAAACTCATGAGTCCAACTTTTTCCTTCTTCCATCCCCACCCCACCCACCCCACCACCTTTCTTCTTACTAAAGCAGAAAGTTGAGACTGGAGGACTAGGTGTGGCTTAGGTGAAGACTTGAGCGTCTTTATTTTGTTTTCCCTCAGCATCGAGGGTTAGAGCCCTGGCAGAGCTCACACCCCCAGTGAAGGTGGATATGGTTTCCTTGGCATGTGTGGAAACCTCAGGGGTTAATTTTGTTCCTGAATGAAATTTCTAATTCCTTAAGGGTAGGTGTGCCCCATTCTAGCTGCCCTTCCAGTTGCCAGAGGCCACCCACTATCTTTGTCTCTGAAAGGAAGTTAACTTAGAAGGTTCTCAGCTAGGCTCTGTGGCCCCTGTAAAGGAAGCTTGGTCTGAACTGGCCCCCTCAGTTTAGGCAGAGGGGGAGTCTGGTCAGGCCGCCTTTGGCACCATGGCTCAGGAATGCTGGGAATGTTAGCAGCGTAGGCTTCTTTCTCCCAGCCTGCCATGTGGAGCCCTCCAGCCTACGCCTGGACGAAGAGGGTGGCAGGTTCCCAAGGGAGAGGTGGGGAGAAGGGGCCTTTGAGGGGTCCTGTGGGGTGTGGAAATTCTTCCTGCTACCTTTTCCCTTTTAGGTTCTGCAGATACAATCTAGTTTTTAATCCCTCCTTCCCTAGCTAACCTGAAAGTGATCTGTAGTCTTTTTCACATCCGTGTGATTGCAGTGAGGTGATCTGTTTCTCGTCTCATGGTCTAGGGTTTGTTGGAAAGCTGCTTGGCTAGATACTGACTTGCTGAGCTGGGCTTTTATGAACTGGGGAAAAGCAGAGGGGCTGGTTTGGGGGAGCAGAGGGCAGGCAACATCTAGCTTTTCCCACAGCCGCCCGTCTTGACTGCTCTCCCTGCTCTTTTCCCATTAGGAGTCATACCCTGCTGTGCCCCCAATCTGGTCGGTGGAGTCTGATGACCCTAACTTGGCTGCTGTGTTGGAGAGGCTGGTGGACATAAAGAAAGGGAATACTCTGGTGAGGGGGCCAGGGTGTTGAGGTGGGGCTCATGTCTTGAAGACTACCCATGAAAGGGGGATATATCTGGAAAGTGGGTGGTACAGTAGGCTGCGCTTTGGAGGCAGACTTCTTAGGGGACTTGCTTACTGAAGCCAGAGAGAGAGAGAGAGAGAGAGACCCCCACACCAGTCCCAGTATTGGTCCAGTACACTCTTCCCACAGCTACACGGTCCATCAGGTGTAGGGAACTAGGTACCAATTTGGGGTCTGAGCTAAGAGCTCATTAGTGTACCTGTCCAGATTGGGGTGGGGAAGGAGTATTTGATGTCACTGTGGTCCCCTACCCCCAGCTACTGCAGCATCTGAAGAGGATCATCTCCGACCTGTGTAAACTCTATAACCTGCCTCAGCATCCAGATGTGGAGATGCTGGATCAGCCCTTGCCAGCAGAGCAGGTGAGCAGCTGAGAAGCTCTGGCCTTGCCCGGCCATCCCAGACAGCGCTCCTGTAGATTGAGACAAATCTGCAGTAGTTTCTCTCCACCCCTACCCACTCCCAACACACATATTGTGACTCTTGGCCTCTTCTGCACGTAGGAATCTAGCTTAAGTGGGACCCTGATAAGAGCTTCCTATCGGAACTTACTCTTGTGGGCAGTATCCCTCGTGGAGAGGAAGGGGCAGACTTTTACCAGTAGCAGTTGGTGGCTATTGGGATCTCAGGCCCCTTGTTGAAAACCAAGAATGCTATATCAGTCTAAAGACAATTGAGTAAAGGAGACAGTCTTATGGAAATTAAACTGGGATTTGTGAGGTGGGTGACAGAGACAGCCGTTTTGCTGCTTTTATTCTTTGGCATTCAGTAGGAAGAGAGTAATGGGCTGCCAGTAAAGTCATTCCCTGGGCTGTTGCTTCCACGCAGACGTGGCTGGTGGAGAGGTTAGCAGCATTACGGACAGGCACATAGCTTCTAGACCTGGAGGCTCAGGGGAGTCCGTCGGAGGTTGCATTCTGGAAAGCCATCGGGGGCTCTGATCTCCCACCTTTCCTTTCCCTACTGCAGTGCACACAGGAAGACGTGTCTTCAGAAGATGAAGATGAAGAGATGCCCGAGGTAGGCTTGCCACCTGAGGCGGCAGTGGCAGGAAGCTCTTTTGGTCAGCAGCACTGAGCACCCACAATACACGAGCTCCAGTCTAGAATGTGGGAGAGAACAATGCCAGAGGAGTAAAGACAGATTTACTGACTTGGAGGAGTGGCCAGTGTAAGAAAGACAGGGCACCCACATCCAACCACTGGAGACAGTTACGTGCAAGTCTTACACCAAACGGCAACAATGTAACTTCAGATATCTACCATATATAGTTGTCTTGAAGATTAAATAAGGCATTACACATAAAATGTTTCATGCAGTATATAAGTGCCAGTTTATCTGATACATCGTCTAAAAAGATACTTTTGCCGAGTGTAACATTACAATTATGAACTTGAGCTTTAGAGCCAGACAGAATTTGATTCACATTTTAGCTTTGCTAAGAGATGTCTGATTTTGGATGCACCTTAGTTGACCTCAGCTTCCTCATCCGTAGAATGGGGGCAGTGACAACATAATGGCATGGTGGTTATAAGAATGAACTGAGCTAGTGTGTACAGCATCTAGTACAGTGCCCAACATTCATTGGATGTCGGCTGATGTAATATTAGGACATCACTGATCACTTTGTGTCCTAGCATTGGGTTAATGTCCCAGGTTCTGTAACTTTATTAAGGTCTTAAGACACATGAAGGACTTGCGATACACGAACTTACTCCTGTAAGTAGAGCACCCTCTGTGCCATCCCTTCAGCATCTAACAGAGGGTTCGGATCCTGAATGTGGGCTCTTCTCCCACGCACAGTGAACTGCTTGCTCAATGAGCGCAGGGTGAATAAGGGGCTGACTCTGTTCTCGACCTCTGCTGTCTCCCTCTCTGGCCCTCCTTCCTCATTTCCCTCCTGGCACTGGGCGCCTCTGTGTGTCCTGCGCCAGCTCACGCACCTAGGAGGGCATGAGGTTTCTGATGCAGGCTTCTCCTTTAGACCGGGAGTCCTGAGGACTCCTGTGTACCACAGTCACCTGGTGAAACATGAGCTTCGAGTCACAGTGTCAGCGCAAAGTCATTCTAGGAATTAAGAGCTTCTGCTGCCAAGGGAGAGTTTTAGAAACGGTTAGAGCAGAGTCGTTCTGGGAAATACAGGGACTGAGTCCTCCCTGCTTGTTTTCCCGGGCCCTCGAGTAGTCTGCTGGAGAAGCGAATGGGAGGGGAGACTGGCCTTGTCCATTAGATTGTAGAGGGAACGGGGCTGGACGTTGTTGTAGAGACGGAAAGGGTGCTGTACTCCGTAGCCACCTAGGTAGACCACTGTTCCTTCACTTGCAGCTCTAGACCGAGTAGGACTGAAAGGCGATGCCCCCTCCAAAACCTGTGTTGGTGTCTTTTCTCCTCTGTCCCACTCCCACTCCATACCTTCCCCAGGACACAGAAGACCTAGATCACTATGAAATGAAAGAGGAAGAACCAGCTGAGGGTAAGAAATCTGAAGATGATGGCATCGGAAAAGAAAACTTGGCCATACTAGAGAAAATTAAAAAGAACCAGAGGCAAGATTACTTAAATGTACGTACCTTCTAGGGAGAGGCTGGGCCAAGGGGTTGGTGGGTAGAGGCTAGAAGGTGGTAGGCCGTTGTGTATCAGTCTGGGGAGCAGATTCCTTTTGGGTGCTACAGGTGTGCCTAACCCTTGCTTAAACCCTGAGCGGGCTGCCAGACTGCCCCTGAGGTCCAGAGTGTTTCCGCACCACGTGACCATGAACTGTTTCTGTCTTCCTGCCCTTGCAGGGGGCAGTGTCTGGCTCGGTGCAGGCCACTGACCGGCTGATGAAGGAGCTCAGGGATATATACCGATCACAGAGTTTCAAAGGTGGTGAGTGGACCCTAGGGAGGGGCCTGAACAGGAGCTTTTCATAAGGAAGGATATGGTGGTGGCCAGGGCCCCAAGAGGTTTGGGGTTATGAACTTCTCAGGCCAGAATGGAGCTCCTGAAGCCAGTGACTTATTCTGGCTGCATGTCCATCACTGGTGAACCTGGAGCCTTTCATAGTTTTTCCTCTCGGCTTGGGAGAGGGATCCACAACCTGGACCATCCTCATAACACCTGTCTTCTTCCTGCCTTCCAGGAAACTATGCAGTCGAACTCGTGAATGACAGTCTGTATGATTGGAACGTCAAACTCCTCAAGTGAGTGGGGACTTGGACTGGAAAGGAGGTGGGGGCGCAGGATGTGTGGCGCCCTGTGCTGGGAGTCTCTGGGGCTGTCCCAGGAGCGTGTCGGTCGGGGGTGCCAGGAGCAGACGGAGCAGTGCTGTGCCCCTCTGCTGTGGGCCTGGAGGAGGGGAGGCTGCCCTGAGGCTCCTGAGCGGGGACCAGGAGTCTGAGCCCAGACTCGTTGTTCCACAGAGTTGACCAGGACAGCGCTTTGCACAACGATCTCCAGATCCTCAAAGAGAAAGAAGGCGCAGACTTCATCCTACTTAACTTCTCCTTTAAAGTAAGACTGTTTCCCTTTCTGCTCCTCCCTCCTTGGCCTAGACCCCCTCCTCCACCTCCCAGTCCGGTGGGGGATGCCGGTCTCTCCTCCCTAACTGTCACCTTTGTCTCTCTCACAGGATAACTTTCCCTTTGACCCACCATTTGTCAGGGTTGTGTCTCCAGTCCTCTCCGGAGGGTGAGTGGCTGAGGGCAGCTCCTGTGACAGGGTGAGAAAGGGGCGTGGAGCTTTTTGCCGGGCACAGCTGACTAACCTTTCTCCTGCAGGTATGTTCTGGGCGGAGGTGCCATCTGCATGGAACTTCTCACCAAACAGGTGAGCCTGTCTCTTGCTCTTGGCCAGGCTGGCATGGGCAGGGTTCAGCTGAGCTTCACCACACACCCCCTGCCAGCTGGGTGACAGGCATAATGTGGCCCTTTCACTCTGTCAGCAGAGCCTGCACCCACTGACCTGGGCCAGCAGGCGATGGCTGTTTGGGAGGGAAGGGCAAGGCCCTTCATGGAAGCAGTTCCTTGCTAGAGAACAAGTGTAAAGTTCTGGGAGCGCTCCTGGCTCACTCGCTTGGCCGCTCGTTTCCCAGGGCTGGAGCAGTGCCTACTCCATAGAGTCCGTGATCATGCAGATCAGTGCCACGCTGGTGAAGGGGAAAGCACGAGTGCAGTTTGGAGCCAACAAAGTAAGGAGCTGGGGGCCCGGGGCTGCTGCCGCTGGCCTGAGCCAGACACAGCTTGGGCCGGTAGCGGGCCGAGGCTTCCTTCTCTCACGGGCCCAGAGGATATTCCCTCTGGGCTGATGGCATTGTATGAGTGGGCCTGGGACATCCTCAGTGGGATCGGGAGCCAGGCCTTGGCCTGAGGGTCCTCCTAAGATTTGGGAGAGGTCACAGGTGTAGGAAGGGAAGGCTGTGGGATTGCACCTGAAAGGGTGCCTCCAGGTGAAAGGCACTGAGTATGTTAACACAGTGTAAGGTCGGGGGTGGGGACTCCTGGGACTCCAGGCGGGAGCCTGGGGAAGGTAAGGGACAGTAAGGCCACAGCTGGCCATGGCCTGATTTGTTGGCTTCTTCTCCAGTCTCAATACAGTCTGACAAGAGCACAGCAGTCCTACAAGTCCTTGGTGCAGATCCACGAAAAAAACGGTGAGACTGGAGCCAGGATTCAAGATTCGGACACTTGGAAGGCCTGAGGTTTTCACTTTCAGCTAAATAGCAAGAACCCCGTTTTGGTGTCTGAGCCTTCACCCCCCAGTAACAAAGCACCTGCCCCCCTTCTCCCGAGAAGGGCTGGCGTGGCTGCGTCCACAGCCTCTCTTCCCAGAAAAGCACCAGTGCTCACTCCACGAGTGGACTTGGTGCCACCCCTCTTCCCGACCACCCTTTGAGAAAGCTCACCTCACTCTTCTGTCATCTCAGGTTGGGCACATCAGTCTCCCCTTCCTTATGACCTCCAGGTAGGCAGTTGCTCAGCTTCCCACACCTCTCCCCGCACACCGGGAAGCCCTTCTGAGGCTCTTGGACCTGTAATCCTGGAGGTGTCTTCCGTGATCAGGCCCCGGAGCAGGGACTCGAGCCTCCACCTCACGTTCTGTTGGGTTTCTTTGCAGGATGGTACACACCCCCAAAGGAAGACGGCTAACCCCGGAGTGTCGCCCCTCCCTCCTTCCCCAGGCACCACTGGACCAATTACCTTTGAATGCTGTATTTGGATCTTACGCTGCCTCTGTGGTTCCCTCCCTCGTTTTTCCTGGACGTAATAGCTCTGCCTATTGCAGGACAATGATGGCTATTCTAAACGCTATGGAAAAAAACACAAACACAGAACTGTTTCAAGTACTCAAGACTGACTTACAGACCAACCAACCACCTGGCTGGAACCCTTGCTAGCAGGCGTTCTTATAAAAGAAACTTTCGAGCCTCCTTATATTGCTGGAAACTCAGCTGTGCTCCAGACTAGAGCCTCCTTACCTATGCTATGGATTTTTAATTTATTTTCTCTTATTTCATGTACACTGCTTTTTTTGGTTACAGTGTATGATGGATGTGTATGGAAAAATGTATCTTTGGGAAAACAATTACAGTTTGTTAATTTGAAGATGCTGGTCTTGACTCATCTTTATTTTTATTCCCACATCCCACCCCACCCCCATCCCCTGAACTACTTGGGTGGTGGGGGAGGGGGAGAGACGAGAGCCAGAGAAATGAGGAGCTGAAGCACACGCCCAGCCCTCAGATTTCTTCCAAAGGCCCCTGGAGTGACCAGCGTTTGTCCCCCGTGGCATGCAGAGCCTGGCCTGCTGAACCACGGTGTAGTAGGCTGAAACGATGACCTTAATTCTTGGGACTATTTTTCTCTTTTAGTCGCAGATGTTTCCATATTTCTAAGAAAAAGAAAATTGGGAAAGTGCTTAAGAGGCTGTTTCACAGAACTGCTTTTAAATGCGTTGAGTGGAGACGGGGCATGATCTCAAGTGTACCCACGGTCTCGCGGGTCCGGCAACACGCTGTGTGTGCACGACTGCGGCGCTCGCTGGGCCCTCCGCCCTGAGGAGGGCTCTGAGCGAGCGCTGAAGGGTGTTCCTCTGTGGCTTCTCTGCTCACTCTCCCGTCTCCTGCTTTGCTGGGTCTTGTAAGAGCAAACAGGCATAACAGAAATTGTTTGGCGTGAGGAGTTGTGGATTCTTTCAAGCCACTCCCGTAAGGTGGGTCCTCTGAGAAGGTTAGCTCTAAGGGGTCGCTGTATATGCCTGTGTCCTCACCCCAGGCTCTGGGAACCGCTGGGGGACCGCGAGAGTGAGGTGGGAAGTCTGCTGAGCCAGCACCGGCGGTGCTGTGTTGTCTGGACGCGCTGTTTAAAACTAGGCGTCGCGACGGCTGTGTGGGACGTGAGCCACCTGCCTCCCCTGGTCAGGGAGCTCGCTCTGGAGTTGACACAGGCTCTTGGGGACAGGCTGCCTACAAACTGAATGATGACTGCGGTGACAGAAGCCAGGGATGCTAAGTGAAGAGGCTAGACTTGGAAAGCCCAGTCTTGAGGTGGCTGCCTGGGAACCTGGAGGGCGTCAGGAGTCCTGCAATGCTTTGTTTTAACCTTGCTCGTTCCCCGTCTTCTCTGAAGGGATTAACGTCTTGCTGCTTCAGGTGGAGAGAGAGTTCAACAGCCCCCCTCAATGCTGCTCTGACTCTGCCCACACCCACCTGACACGGGGTGCACAGTGGGGGCCCCAGAGCTGAAACCTGGTTCTCAAGGCCTCTGTGGCTTTCTCCTGAACTTACCACCAGCCTTGGCTGAAATGTAGATTGTGTTTTTAGTAATGTGTACTGTGAGCTGTCCTCTGTATAATGTATTTTGTAATGTATTTTTCTCATCTACCAAAGGATGAAACAAATAAAATTATTTAAATAGTTTGGCTCTAATCAGATTTTTTAAAGAAATAATGGGGTCCGCACTCCCCAGCTGTGAAGGGTAGCACCAGCCCCTGTAAGCTGTACGCCCGCTGTCAGAGAGCTCTCCGCTCGTCACACCTAATGTTCCCTTCCATGACCTTACATGTAAAAGGTCTCTAATGAAGTTGCAAATCTTAGAAGAATCATTGCCATATCATCCTGAATCCATGTTCTCCTAGGAAGGCAAGGAGATACGAAACAAGCTCCTTTAGGTTGGTACCCTGCACCTCCAGCAGGAATGAAGCTAGCCCCAGGCAGGGTTGCCCCAGGCAGGGTTCCCCAGGCTACGGCCTGCACCAGAGCCGAGTGTGCGCCGGAGGCACAGGGCACACGAGGCACACGGAGTTTCCCCTCGCTGCTGCGGCCCTAGGAGAAGGCGGGCTGGGGAGGGGCGGCTACTCAGGGATTGACCACCCCACACTCGTGAGACATGCCAACTGCGTTCACCGGGGGGTGGCTCACTGGTTAAATGCGCCCCACCGGATTCCACAATGGACTGCCCGGGAAGTTGAGCAGTGGGCAGCTCCATTCTCCAGACTCTGTTAGGGCAATGTATATCATGCTCTGGGGTGCAAAAAAGAGACAGAAAAGGAACACGTGGCCCCTGAAGCTTTCAGTGTAAGCTTCCTAAGTTTGATTCAAACATTCGTGCTGAGGGGGGACTGAAGACACAGGACAAACGGAGAGACGTCACTGCTCTGAGAGCTGAGCTGACAGCACAGGCCACTGGGCATCACATCAGTCTTGGGCACCAGTGTGGCCTCTTTCACTCTCAAAGCCTCAAGAGCAGAAGGGGGAGCCCTGGCTGGTGGCCCAGTTGGCTGGAGCTTCACCCCACACACCAAAAGGTGGCAGGTTTGATCCCCACTTGGGGCACATATGGGAGGCAACCAATGTATGTTTCTCTCACATCCATGTCTCTCCCTCCCTTTTTCTTCCTTCCCTCCCCCTCTCCCTCCCCCCTTCCCTTCCTTCCTCTAGTGAGGATTTGAAGGAAAAAAAAAAGAATGAAAGGGGACAGCAGGGCAGGACAGGCAGACGTGGACAGAATGGGAAGGGGCTGATCCTAGCCACGTCATTCAAGTTATTTAAACCCTTCAAACGTCAGGATGTGCAAATGGGAGAGAAAGACTCAGTGGGAAGGATGGACCCCCCCAGCTGATCCACCCAAAACCTTGAATAACTTCAGTTTGTTCTGCTGAAGGCCAATGCCAGGTGATTCCACAGATCCAGGCCTTGGCCCCTGGGGTGGGAGGGGAAGGAGAGGGCTGAGTTAAAGTACAGGGGCAGTTACCTCCAAGTTCAAAGCACCAGTGATTTTCCCTTGGAGGATGCGATGGATCACCTGATTGGAACTCAAAACGCCTGCAAAACAAAACGCACCAACAGGACGTTGGTGGCACTGGGTCAGGCGGGAGGAGCCAGGGAGGGAAGTGAGAGGCCAGGGCTGTGGGAAACTGCTCTGGCTGCAGACCAGCTCCTGCGACAAGTCTCTGCTAGTTACTGCTAACTCCCTGCTGCCGGGAGAAAAGGAGATAAACGCTAGCGGGGGGAGGGGGAGGGCGCGGTAAGAGCCTGTATGGGGAGGTGACATATTATTGGTGCTAGAACAATCACACGGATCTGGCACTTTACATTCTGTAATGGGAAATTCTGGGGGCCGAAAGCTGTTCACCAACTCTGCTCTGAGCAGTCAGGCTGGAGAGACAGAGGTTAGCAGCAAAGGCACGCTCACCATGATGAGTGGGCATTCTCACCCGCTGGCAGGGGGCGGGGCAGGCCGCTGGTCAAAATGTCCTGCAGTCTGCCGAACTCTGGCATGTCTGCATGCGTGAAACTGGCCGTACGAAAAGTCGGACCTCACTGCCATCCCCAGTCACTTCCTGGCTGTGAGAGGTGAGGTGGTTCCTTTCTCTCCCTGAGCCTTACTTTCCTCACCCTCACAGAGAGGACTGCACACCCCCCTGCCCAACCTCTGGGGGCCATCTCCAAGCCCACATGGGAGCCGAGCACACCCCACATCTGGGATGGGCATTCTGGCCTCTCTGGCGGGCTGGAAGCTGCTCTTTGGGGCAGGAGTAGCCTCTACTATGGGCTGCCCCCTAACACCCAAGCAGTCAGGCTCAGCCGGCCTCAAACTCCAGGCCCTGGCTGTGGGCCTGTCACTCCGCAGGCTGGGCAGCAGGGCCCTCTTCATGCAATGACACAAGATGACCTGTGGGTGGCGCCCCTGACCAGGAGGCATCATTCCCCTCAGCCTCCCATGGGGCCTGCAATTTGGGAGTGTGTTTGTGTCTGTGTGTCTTCACCTCTGCTTCTCTTCCTGATCTCTCAAAGCGCTCTTTCATCCTTCCACAGCTCCCCACCCCAGTCTTGAGAAGGAGCGGAGTAAATAAGGGGCCCCTCCGTTCTTTCGGAGGGTGTGGAATCTGAGTCCCCAGCAGGTGTCCAGGTCAAAGGAACAGATGTCAGAAGGCCCAGAGTCGGTGCTCCAGACCCTGCCCTTGGATTTCCAGTTCTACTTTTCATCTGTAGCAAAATCCTCTCCCAGTGAAATCTTAAGCAAAACTCAATGTACACGAAACAGGTGAAAGCTGAGCAGCTCTGGCAGAAGCAGGCGTAAGAAGCCTGCCCTCCCTCCCTGCACCCAGAGAGCTCAGCCTTTGGACCGCACCTGGGGCCCCGCAGAGCCCAGGTGTGAAAACTAATATTCCAGAGGCAGCTTTTCGAGGGGCAGATGCCAAAAACTGGGGTAAGAGCAGATGAATAGAGGTCAAAGGGCACCCTGAGGGCCCTGGCTGCCCACGCCATGCCCCGCCAAGCTCCTGGAGGTGGGCACAGCACCTTCCACCCTTCACCCTCAGGAGGAGGTCGGAGGACATCTCACCTTTCTCCAGAGTGAACGGCCGAGTCGGAGGCGGGATGGGCCAGAAGCCATCGCTGTTCAGGCTGCGCAGGGGCTCTACCTGCATGGCAGCTGCCTGGCCAAAACCGATGACCCCGACCACGGCCTGGATATCCACCGTGTCCACTACCCAGCACCTGGCCGGAGGGAGGGAGCGGGGAGGGAAAGGAGGGTTGTTCCACCTGGCATCGTGCACAGTAGTCCTTGACTAAGAGGGCTTCAAGGCCAAGGCTGACAGGAGCAGAGTGCTTCCTTTGCTTCTCCTCTTCCTCAGGCAGGGAAGTGATAGTGATCAGAGATCTTGAGAGAGGAAGCAGCAGGAGAGAAACCAGAGTCCAAACGAGGGACAGGAAAGGCGTGGCTCTGTCCCCTGGCCCCTCTTACACCGTCCATCCCTGCCTGGCACAGGCCTGTTCCAGCCCACCCATAACCGCCCACATGGTACTCAGCCAGACAGCGGGCCCCACGCTGCATGGCTCAGCCACGCAGGTGTGGCTGCTGCTCCTCAGCCTCGGCCACAGGGCTGAACAGCACCTACATGTTCCGGTGCAGAGTCTACGGGTGGCAGATGGGCCTCACTGCCTGCGTCACATCACACAGCTGTCTCTGCAGACATCACCTGTTATGCCAGCACCACTCATCTACCCCAAGGGAGCCACAGGTACGAGGTGGGAGAGAGACACGGAACCCTGGGATCACACTTCGGTCACTCTTAAGTCCACCGCTGACTGGCCCCAGGAAGGCTCTGTAAGAAAACACCAAAACCGAGAGGGCGACCAACAAGCCCATACCTCCGTGATGTGCATGGCCCAGAAGAACAGGGCCTGAGGACAACGCTGGTCACCAGCAGCCCTGCCTCGCTGTCAGTGGGAGGCCAGCCAGCTCAGGTCCCGGGAGCATTCCCTCAGAAGCAGCACCAGGACGGGTCCTCGGGGGAAAGGCAGGGGAACACGGGCAGGGGGTGAATGAGTGCGTACCCTGACCAACCCTAGTCCTGGAGGATGCAGGGTGGGTCCAGACAGGACAGTCACCCTGAGCAGGAGGAAGCTCAGGCCCACCTCCTGGATGGGGGTCAGGATGTGGGGGGGCACACATACCCAGGTGCATAATGCAGAACAAAGGCAGCACCTTGCTATGGGGGGGTGAGGTGGGGGGCACATTTGGGAAGGGGTGTCCCAGAGAGAAACAAAAACACGGTGGGGATGCCACAGAGATGGGCCCGAGCCCTCACGGGGCTGGTTCTGAGCCTGCCAGCCGCTTAGGAGCCTCTACATGATGCAGCTGTGGGACCGTCCAAAACCCAGGACAATCACCCCTCCCCGCAGCCAACACCTGCCAAACTGCATCCTCCCACTCCACCAACTTTACCACCTAAGTCCAACATATGGCCTGCAAGGCAAACCTGCTGCTTTGAATAAACAAACACCACTCATCCTACAGCATTTCAAGTCAGACAGAGTATCCTGGCATCCCTGACATTGAGAATCGTGGCCACTGTCACAGCAGGAGACACGGCAGACACGATGATCTCATTGCACCCAGGGTGGGAGAGAGTCACAGGCCTTCACTCTCTGAAAATGGAAACAGCCCTGGCCGGTGTGGCTCAGTCCATTGGAGCATCACTTCATAGACCAGAAGGTCATGGGTTTGATTCCTGCTTAGAGCACATGCCTGGGTTGCGGGTTCGGTCCCCGGTTGGGGTGCCTATGAGAGACAATCAATCGATGTATCTCTCAAATTGATATTTCTCTCCTTCTCTCTTTCCCTCTCTCCCCCTTTCTGACATCAATAAGCATGCCCTCCAGTGAGAATGGATGGATAAATAAATAAATACTGAAACAGATTTTCTTAGGTCACTGTGGGTCTGGTACAGGAGTTCCTGAAACTTCATCCCCACACCTGTAGCAGCCCTGGCCCCACTCCAGGGACTGAATGATGCTTGTAGTCACCGTTTGCTCTGCTGGCCCATATACCCATCCAGTGACCTAATTTCCATGGGAACTGCAAAGAAGGTTGTCCCCGGTTTCTCCTGTCTCTTGGGAGTCACAGACTCCTCAATCCTGAAAAATCCCTCCTGAACTTTTTATCCAACACACGTGGATGCAGGTGCCACCCATTCCACTTCTCTGTCCCTCCCTAACAGTCTGGATGTGGTTTCTTTAACTCCATAGTTGTCCATTCAACTCGATTTCTGACCGTTCTGAGTGATGGTTGTTCTATAATTTTGTTGTGATTTTGATGTGATTTTGTGCTGTATTTAGGTGCTGTGTACATCACCTTATTTTAACTAGTACTTATGACCTGGAATTTTCTATTTATTGGTTATTGTGTGTCTCTTCCCATTGGAATATAAATATCATGATAATAAGAATTGCATTTGCCTTTTGACAATTACCTTGATCACTGAGGTAGCCCCAGGGACTAGAATGATGCCTGGTGCATATTAAGCTCTCAGTAAACAGATGTGGAACAAATGGATGGATGGATGGATGGATGGATGGATGGATGAAATGGGTGGATGGGATGGAATGGATGGAATGGATGGGATGGATGGAATGGGTGGAATGGATGGATGGATGGATAAATGGGGTGGACAAATGGAAGAGTGGGGAGGGAGGAATGATAGAAAAAGAGGGAGGGAGGAAGAAGAGAAGGAAGGAGAAATGACCTGGGGCAAACTATTACCTCTCTAAGGCTTGGTTTCCTCTTCTATCACATGAATCACGTCTGCTCTGATGAGAAGATACACTTGGGCTAATTCTCTTCAGGGTACAACATACAGTAGGTACTTAATAAATGGAAGCAGTATGACAGTGGCTGAAGGTGCGGGTTGTGGAGTCAGACTGTCTGGGCTCCACTTCTGGTTCTAGAAGTGATGGGCTCCTTAACTTTGGGCAGTTGCCTGGTCCTCCTCTGCAGGCTGGGAGAGTGACAGCACCCACTGCTGCCATTCAATGAGTTCATACAGCAAAGGGATGACAGGACCTGCAGGGTGAGCCCTCCACAGGGGCTCCCTACTGCTGTCAATCAATGAGGCCCTAGTCAGATCTCCACGTGAAATCTGACTAGATCTCACCTCTGCTCCACCTGTGCACCTACAACAAGCAAAGTGACAGTGCAGACAACTCTCTCTAGGCAAGCAAGAGGGTGGCTTTGTATTTAGAATCTCATAAGACAGTTCTCTCTACCAATCCCGAGAACCAATTATCAGCAGTGGTTTCAAGCTAAACATTATTAATAGAGAAATATTTTACCAAAGTGTCACAGGTTAGATTCCCAGCCAGGGTACATGCCTGAGTTGCAGGCCATAACCCCCAGCAACCGCACATTGATGTTTCTCTCTCTCTCTCTCCCTCCCTCCCTTCCCTCTCTAAAAATAAATAAATAAAATCTTTAAAAAAAGAATATACATATTTATTTAGAAAAAAGAGAAATATTTTAGACCACTTATGGTCTAATTATTATTCCCTAATGATTTAGGAGATAAATATAACAAGCCTTTTTTGACTGTGAAATTAAGCTTCAGAACATAATCATCATCTAACCACCATGGCAGGCATGTCGCCCGAAACAAACCTCCAATTTCAGGCTGTGTGTGTTGCATGGAAGTGGCCACCTGGAAGCTACAGACCATCTGAGGCAGCAACTCAATCTCTGCCAGACCAGACAACTTTAATTAAGCTCCACTGTTGCTATAAGCACAGTAACCCTCATGTCCAGATCAATCATCAGCTATTAATGGTCTCTTTACTTTGTTCTTTACTTATATTGCTACCAGTTGGTCAAACGTCCTTAAGAGGTGGCCAGCTATAGAATGATGCTGGTGAGTCTAAACAGTGGGAAAGAAAACAAGAGGATACACAGAGGTCAGTGGCCAGAAGGCTCTGGGCTGGCGGGGGGCCCTCTGGTCCCCCCCCCAGGGAGGGGTTCTCATTCCACTGCTCAGCAGGGGTGCAGCCCTCACGTCTCACAAAGAACAGCAGCAGCTGCCCTGCCTGCAGCCTCCGAGTCTGTTCACTCCCCACGCCTGGACGGCTGCGGTCACTCTGAGCCATCTCTCTCTGTCTCTTTTAAGATTTTACTATTTATTTTTAGAGCAAGGGGAGGGGAGAAAGGAAGGGAGAGAAACATCAACGTGTAGTTGCCTCTCACATGCCCTCTACTAGGGACCTGTCCCACAACCTAGGCTTGTGCCCTGACTGGGAATCGAACCAGCCACCCTTTGATTTGCAGGCTAGCACTCAATCCACTGAGCCACATCAGCCAGAGCTGGGCCATCTCCTTTTAAGGTCCCTGACCCTACATAGGGAACTGTACCTAGAGCCACCCAAAGGACGCCTCTTGGTAGAAATGTAGTAACATTTACAGTTACATTAACCTTCAATGGCTTTCCTCTCCTCCAGGTTATACACCCTGCACTTCTATTATGTCCCAGGCACTGAGTGACAAAGATGAGAGACACAGACCCTGTCCTCAGGGAGCCTACATTTAGTCGTCACTCCACAAATATTTATAAAATGTGTACACTCCAAACATTGCCACGAGGAAGCTCACATTTTGGTGGCAGACAGTAATAATACAAATAGGTAAAACACTGGATGGCTGACACTTGTGATCAAGATGGAGGCACAGGTAAACACAGCCCACCTCCTCATTCAACCACATCAAAATTACAACTAAATTATAGAAAAATCATCACTCAGAACCATCAGAAATCAAGTTGAATGGAAGTCTGACAACTAAGGAATTAAAGAAACCACATCCATCCAGACTGGTAGGAAGGGCGGAGACACTGAATGGGTTCCATGGTGGATAAAATTTGGGAGGAATATCTCAGTAGGGAGGAGTCCCAGCCCCACACCAAGCCCCTCAGCCCAGGTTCCAGTGCCAGAAAGGCAAGTCCCCATAACTTCTGGCTACAAAAACCAGTGGGGGTTGAGTTGGTGGGAGAAATTTCTGGAGTCCCAAGCAGTTCCTCTTAATGAACCTACATATGGACTTATTCAGACTCACGCCCTTAGCTCTAGCACCAGATTAGCATCTTAACAGGCACCAGTGGCACACAGGGAAGAAGTGAAGTATCTGGCATGAAGGCAAGAGCTGGGGGATAGCTTTCTCCCAGACAGAAAGGCAGGCAGAGGCCATTGGCCCTTTTCTGAACCATCTCCCCACAGAGCCACAGAGACCACAGGCAGGTGCCATATCTGAGACTCCATCAATCTGACTAACACTATTTATAGGGAACATGTCCGCATGGCATGGTGAATGTAGCCCAGCCCGATTCGGAAAACTGCCGGGAACCAAGTTGGCACACAGGACCTAAGCCCATGGATGGGTTCTTCTATGAGGAATCAGGCCTGTATGGTACCTAGGCTGCTTTGAGGCTTGCTTTTTGCTAAAAGTCCCTCACCCTGAATTAAGGCAGCAAATGTTTACTGCATATCTTTAAAGTAATTTCCTAAAATCTATGCTAAAGTATCGAGTGTAACCAGTTCAACCACTTTTTCCTTTGCATTTGTAAATATCCTTTTTTCTTTTTAGTAATTAGCAACTTCTTCTCCTTTGTTTTCTGTAACCACCTACAGCGAACCTGTGCATAGTAAATGAGGACCATCCTCAATGTAACGTGTGACCAGAAAACCAATAAAAGCCTGTCCAGGCAGGGGTCGGGGCCCTCTCTCACTGAGAGAGTGGCCCTGCAGTCCCTTTTTCTCCACAGAACTCTGTAGTCTGTGAGAATTTGTTCGTCACAGCCACAGCACACAGACCCGCTGGCTGGATTATGTATCAACTGTTTGCCCCACTCTGGAGATCCCCTGAGACTCCATCCCACCAAACTGACAGGGTCCACCTAGGCTAGTTAAAAATCAAGTTAACAGTGACTTTTGCATATGATGGCTGGTCTCGGCTCATGCTCCACAACTTCCTAAATCCTATCAAACAGCAACAGCTGATCTCAGCCACCCCACAGCCCTTGTGCCTCTTGCTAAGTCGCTTAGGCCCAGCACTACCAGCAGTCAACCTAGATTCACAACTTGGCCTCACTTGGGAATCTCTAAGCCCAGTACAAGTAGCAGCCATCTCAGATTGCTTTATAGCTCAGGTAGGGTGGCCCCAGATGAAACACAGGTGGGGGCTGACCATGGCCTGCACCACCCAGGAAACCCTAGGGCCAGCACACCCAGTGGACAGCTACAGACCATGTCAGAGCACCACCACCCTGCCCCTGCACAGCTGATCCTCCTGAGAGGGCAGAGGGTGGAGGTCAGTGGTCACAGCCAATCCTTGAAGCTGACTGACCTGGGTAAATCCCTCCCACTGATCTGCCAACAGCAACCAAGGCTCCACTACAAAAGGAGGGTATACTCAGCCCATACTAAGGGCACCTGGAATACTCAGCTTGGGTGAAAGGGGAGGCTGTGCCCTGGACCCTATAGGACACCTACTATAGTAGGCCATTCTACCAAGACACAGAATTAAAGCAGCTCTACCTAATAAATAGAAACAAATGCAGGAAGGCTGCCAAAATAGGGAGACAAAGAATTGTGGCCCAAATGAAAGAACAGATCAAACCTCTAGAAAAAGAGCTAAACAAAACAGAGATAAGCAATCTATCAGATGCTGAGTCTGAAACACTGGTTACAAGGAGGCCAAGGTACTTAGGAAGGACCTCAGCCGCAAAAAAAGATCCAGTCAGAAACAAAGGATTCACTAATTGAAATAGAGAACAATTTACAGGGAAACAGTAGAGTAGATGAAGCCAAGAATCAAATCAATGTTTTGCAACATAAGGAAGCAAAAAACAACCAATCAGAACAAGTAGAAAAAATAATCCAAAAAATGAAGACAATGTAAGCAGCCTCTGGGACAACATCAAGGGGTCTAACATTTACATCATAGGGGTGCCAGAAGGAGAAGATAAAGAGAAAGAAATTGGAAATCTACTTGAAAAAATAATGAAAGAAAACTTCCCTAACTTGGTGAAGGAAATAGACATGCAAGTCCAGGAAGCACAGAGAGTCCCAAACAAGATGGATGCAAAGAGGACCACTCCAACACACATCATAATTAAAATACCAAAGATTAAAGATAAAGATCTAATACCAAAGATTAGAGAATCTTAAAAGCATCAGGGGAAAAGCAGTTAGCTACCTACAGGGACATTCGTTCCCCTTAAGACTGTCAGATGATTTCTCTAAAGAAACTTTGCAGGCTAGAAGGAATTGGCAAAAAATATTCAAAGTCATGAAAAGCAGGGACCTACAGCCAAGATTGCTCTACCCAGCAAAGCTATTATTTAGAATCGAAGGGCAGGCAAAAGCTTCCAGACAGGAAAAAATTAAAGGAGTTTATCATCACCAAAGCATTATTATATGAAATGTTCAGGGGAGTCATGTAAGAAAAAGAAGATCAAAACTATGAATGATAAAATGGCAATAGATACATATCTATCAACAATTGAATCTAAAAAACAAACTAAGAAAACAAGAACAGAGACAGTATCATGGATATGGAGACCATTTAGATAATTGCCAAAAGGGAGGGGCGTAGTGGAGAAGGGGTGAAGAGGCGAGGGGATTACGAAGTGCAAACAGGTAGTTACAGAATAGCCATGGGCATGTAAAGTACAGCATAGGAAATGGAGAAGCCAAAGAACTGCTACATAGGACCCATGGACATGAACAACAGTGCGGGTATTGCCTGAGGGAGAAAAGGTGTTCTGGGTGGAAGGGGAAAATGGGGCAATAATGGGACAACTGTACAGCATAATCAATAAAATATAATTTAAAAGTAAATAAATAAAGTTTTTGCACAGCAGAGGAAAACATCAACAAAATGAAAAGACAACCCACAGAACAGGAGAATATATTTGCTGATACATCTGGTAAGGGGTTAATATCTAAAATTCATAAAGAACTGACAAAACTCCATGCCAAAAAAATAACCCAGTTAAAAAAATCGGCAAAGGACCTGAAGAGATACTTCTCCAAGGAGAACATACAGATGTCCAATAGACATATGAAAAAGTGCTCCACGTCACTATTCATCAGGGAAATGTAAATTAAAACCACAATGAGATACCACCTCACACCTGTCAGAATGGCTGTTGTCAGTAAGTGAACGAACAACAAGCGCTGGCAAGGATATGGAGAAAGAGGAACCCTCCACACCGCCGGTGGGAATGCAGACTGGGGCAGCCTCTGTGGAAAGCAGCATGGAGATTCCTCAAAAAATTAAAAATGGATCTGCCATTTGGTCAACCCAGCGATCCCACTTCTGGGAATATATCCTAAGGAACCCAAAACACCGATATGAAAGAATATAAACACCCCTATGTTCATTGCAGCGTTATTTACAATCACCAAGATATGGAAGCAGCCCAAGTGTCGGTAAAACAACTGTGGAACAGTCACACAGTGGAATTCTATTTGGCCATAGAAAAGAACACTTTGCCCTTTGCAACAGCATGGACGGACCTGGAGAACATTACGCTGAGTGAAATAAGCCAGTCAGAGAAAGACAAATGCCCTGTGATTTCTAACAAACTGAACTAACCAGCAGAACAGAGACAGACATAGACGGAGAGCAGGATGACAGCTGGTGGGGGAGGTTAGGGGGTGGAGGGATTGAGCAAAAGGGAAAAAGGACTCATGACGACAGCATGGTGATTGCTGAGGGGAGAGGGTGTAAGCGGACTAAATGGTAATGGAAAAAATACAATTAAAAAAATTAAAATAAAAAAAACCTTGACCCAACTATATGCTATCTACAAAAAGCTCACTTCAAATATTATGATATAGGCAGTTTTAAAGTAAAAAGATGTATCATGGAAACATTAATAAAAGGAAAGCAGAAGTGACTACATTAGTATCAGCTCAAGTAGACCTCAGAGCAAATAACATCACTAAAGACAAAGGGGATACTATACAGTTCCACAAGAGTCACTCCAGCAAGAGTTCATGGCAACCCTAAACGTCTATGAACCACACAACAACACTGCAAAACAAGTAACACAAAACTGGTTGATCTGAAAGGAGAAATCCACAACTATAAT